CGGCTTTGCCCTTCTTACGCGCTCCATTCATGCGGCAAGAAGTCTCGTTACACGGTACACTGACCGCGGAACCGGTTGTAATAGTATCATCGTCATTCAGCCGCTGAACCCACGACCGGTTCTATTCTTGGCGCATCTTCATTCACGAGTAACCTCTTCCCCTCTTCGCCTCTCGATTCATCCCTGAAAATTCAAATTAGCACGATCGGTTCATTTTGTTACAAAAATTGTTACGAAAAGAAAGAAAAAAACGAAAAGAAAAATCTTCGAGCGAGTGTTATCTCTTCGAGTGTTAAATTGAGATAAGTAACGCGGCAACGATTTCATAAATCGCGAAACGAAGGGCGTATGCAAAAGGCGGGTTTCGAAACAAGCACAGTCACAGCCGTTTTCCGATCGTTGGGTCGCGAGAGAACGCTCGGTCGGCCACGTCACACGGATCGGCCGGGATCGTTCCATGTAAACCGGGATGTGAAAGTTTCGCCAAGTTAGATATGCATAATACCGGGTAGTGCGCTCGTTTCGAAGCGCGGCGGCTCGAGAGAGCTGGGCGTGACAACGCTCCTCTCCTTGGAGGAGCAGTTCCCTTTTCGACAAGACAAGAATCGATCGGAGCCAGTTCGACCTCTTTCCGCGCTCGTTTCACCGATTTTCTCCTCGATCCGCGATCGATTCGCGGTAAGAGAACCGGTCGTTTCCACTAATATAGCAAAGTGGAAATCGTCGAGATCGAAATTCTTTTCTCCGAAGAAAAACAAACTCGAAGTAATTTCAAACGATAATTATCGCTCGTCGTCCATTAATTATGAATCTAGAATCGCATTAGATATTCGCGATTGCGTAAAATACGCGAGCCAATTTTCTCTTTTCTTTTTCCTTTCGCGAGATAACAAAATTTTTCAATTTTTCAAAAACTTATTTCCCCTCCTCCCTTCCCTTATAACGCATCGATCGAAAGGATAAGTATCCTGATACTTAGGCGTGAATTCTTTCCACGGAGTTGCGAAAACGTTACGAAATTCTCGTTCGAGTTTTCCGTAGCACGTTGCGAAATTTCACGCTCGACTTCCATCCGGTGATCGTAGCGCGGGCACGGGCGCGCGGACTTTGATATTAAAGGAGGCAACAACCGGTCGCATCGTTGCTTTCACGGTTTAAAAGAAGGGACGACGTTTCCCCCAGGTGGCGGGAATCGTTTCTCGATGGCGTGGAACGCCGATCCGCAACCGTGTAACGGGTATCGAAAGTGAAAGCCGTGGTTATGTTACACGAGGCTCGGTGGTAATCGGTGCCAAGTCAATGGGAGGCTGAATTAGGCGGTTAGGTCGGGTTAGTAATCGCTTCCGTGGAATCGGGAAGGATAGACGGAGTTCGTCTTCGTTTTCCTCCACCGATTTCACTTCGAGTTTTATTGCCTTTCACGAGCTCGAACGACTGGCCACGTAACGAGGCACGACGACGACTACGAGACAACGAGAGCTGACCCCTGACGACCGATTCGCAGGTTGTGTTCGCCTGTCTGGCAGTGGCGACGGCGCGTGCCGGAATCGCGCACGGACCTGGCTATGCCCTGGCCGGAGGTCATGGCGGTTACGGAGGCGGCGTCGGCCTCGCGGGAGTCGGCCTGGTCGGCGGAGGTGCTAGTCTCTCTGGTGGTCTGGCAGCTGGTGCTGGCAGCGCGAGATCTCTCCAAGAGGGTGCCTCCAGCTTGGGATCCTCCGCTCTTGGTGCCAGCTACGCCGCTGGATCCGCGGCGGCTGCTGGAGCTGCTGGTGTTCAACAGATTGTCTCTGGTGGTGCGTAAACAAAGATCCGTTTAGAAGGAAGAGAGAGAGAGAGAGACGTTGGTCGGTCGGTGACGGGATACCTTTCGTTCTGTCGAGCAGGAGTGATCGGTGGCAGGGCTGACATTGGACCTGCCGAGG